CAATAGCCACAGGAACGTTGCTGCAAGACAGGCATATGTAACGACGACTTAGCGCTCTTAAACGCGTGTGTCATTAAATACAGTCCTCCTGACAACAGGCCAGTGAAAAATCTAACAATCTACAGCAAAACCATCAATTATTATGGGCGTTATAACATACGTGTGCAGCTGGACGAAACATACACGTCGAACCCCCCCAGACGATTTAAATCCCTGACGAAACATACACGTCGAACCACGGCAACGGGTTAAGCAAAGATGGAAGTGGAATATCGTCTCATCACGCCTTTCATTGTCACTTATTGCTGCTATGTTGTAGTCCGATTTGTAACTATTTGCTAACATACATAAAGGGCCGCACCATAGCTCATGCGGTTAGTCACTGGCTTCCCACCACAGCGGCCTGGGTTCGATTCCGGGTCTGGCCAAGTGGGATTTGTGGTGGACAAATTGGAGCTGGGGCAGGTTTTCTCCAAGGACTTCGGTTACCCCTGCCAATCTTCATTCCACCAATTGCTCCACAATCACCCTCACCTATAATCTGGGGCTGGTACAATGGGCCAGAAGTGGCCGCAGTACAAGGGACTTAGTCCCACCCCACTAACATTAAAAAAAATTAACATACATAATGACAGGATGGCATGCAGATCCATTGCTAGGCAATGACTGCAAAATAAGTAGCTGTACTACAGCCAATACTGAGTAAGTGATGGGACTGCTGCAATTCAGTCATTAGCTGTTGCTATTAGAAGCTGGTAGCTGAGGCTGGGGACCGTTTGTGAACCCAGAGGAATGGGAATGTTTGCCATTAGAAGCTGCTACCAAGCAATGGCTAATGAAGACTGTAACAGACTGAGAAGATGTAGTATGTCCTAGAGTGATTTGTGAAGTGTGTAGACCAGTGAGAGCATAATTCTTGTAGTTACAAGTTGTAAGAGTCAGTAAAATCCGATTACCAATCCGAACCCCATGTATAGTCACACAGTATCATGCGACAGTATGTAAGGATTCTTGGTTAATTTGATCCTAAAGTGAAGTAGCAATTGTCTTGGCTAAAGCTGCCCAAGTATCATTTTGTGACAGATTTTTATGAAAAGTTCTAGTATTAAATATATCTTTAAATCTACTTTTGAGAACATGAACAGTGAAGTCAGTCCTTGGGGATCATATAGGGGCTTTATCATATATGTGGACCATATTTGAATGTGATGAGTGTAATTTTAGCATGAGTTAAATTTCTTAAAGTCAGGTTCAGGGTAGAACTATTATATGTTCATGTACCCTAAAGGTACATATTGTGCAGATTCAAAACTTTTGATACACATCTATATCTATAACTTCATTTTGATTTGGATTACAAGGGAAATATGCATAAAACTATTTTTACTGGCACTGTATGGGTGTGGAACCTGGTATCTCACACTCTATGGGAAGAACAAAGATTGAGGGGTGTCCCAAAACAGAACATTTTAGCCCAAGGGAAGTAGTACAATACTATAATTTGTAACAAAGAGTGAAGAAAATTGTTGATTGAGAAGCTCTACATTTTGTGACCTGTATAGTTTTGTGGAGGTAATTAAATCAAGATTAGGTTGAGCAGGACATACAGACCTAGTTGGTGAAAAGGTTCACCATGCCTCGCATAGATGATAGACCAATGAAAATAGATCTTATGGAAGGTGTGAACTGGGTTGAACAGGTTCAGTAGTTACTGTTACAGGAATGAAGTCAGAATTTCAGTTACATTTAGGTATTTTGTTTTCATTAACTTAATGTTTTTCTGTGATTATAGAAAATCAAGGAACAGAATGAAGAAATAGTTAAGACATATGGATTCTGTGTTATTGATGGACATAAGGAACGTATAGGTAACTTCAAAATTGAACCACCGGGATTATTTCGAGGACGAGGGGAACATCCCAAGATGGGTATGCTTAAGAGACGTGTGCAGCCTGAAGACGTCATCATTAACTGTAGTAAGGACTCAAAAATTCCAAAACCACCTGAGGGACATAAGTGGAAAGAAGTACGACATGATAAGAATGTAAGTGTACAGCGCATTTTGTGTTTGTTTTTAATGCTCAGTGGTTTTGAATGTCAAAATATGCATTTTTATACTAGGTGTGTTCAAAAAGTTCTCGAAATTTGTCTCTAAATCAACAGTGCATGATAGTCACATTAGGTTTTTTTGAGTGACCTTGCAACTTGACTGTCATACTAGCCATTTTATTCCAGGTAGATGGAACACTCTGTTTAGTTTTTGTAACTGGTTTTGTGATTGTGTTGTCCCTTTGAATGTGGAGTTGGTAAGGGTGCAAAGAATTTGTGTTAAATTCTGTGTCAGATTAAGGAATACAGCTGCAGAAACCCAATTGCGTTAAGCTGACAGTGATGATGCCTTCAGTGAGACAACCTTCAAAAGGTTCAGATATTTAAAAAATTGAACTTCAGTGAATGATGATGATGATAACAGAAGATTTAGGAATCCATTGGTCTCAGCAAAATTTGTGCCAGGACTCTTGATTGATGATCAGAAACTGCAACAATTTTCTATCTGTGAAAATTTGCAAGGAGCAAATGGTGAAAATCTTTTGAAAAATGTCATTACTGGTGACAAGACGTGGGTTTACAGTTATGATGTTGAAACCAAACAACAGTCTTCACACTGGAAGTGTCTTGCTTCGCCTGCCCCACAAAAGCATAGTAGGTGGGCATGCATAAGTGAAAGCAATGCTGGTTGGTTTTTATCATTGTCATTGTGCATTATGAATTTGCTCCTGAAGGTCAGATAACGAATCAAGATTTTATCTGGCAGTTTTGAGACACCTGTAGGATGTGGTATGAAGAAAGCAACCTGAAATGTGGGCTGTGGGAAGCTGGTTTCTCCATCACAACAATGTGCCTGCTCACACAGCATTGTTAGTTAGATAGTTCTTTGAAAAACATTAAATTCCTGCCCTTCCACATCATCTCTGTTGACTTGACATTTCCCTTCCAAACATTTTTCTTACCCTTAAGAAGACTTCAGACAGTGGAAAACATCATCACCAATGTAACAAATGACTTTAAGGCAAGACCACAAACATCTTTCCAAAATGGTAATGGCAGTGGGAGGGTTGCAGTGATGTGCAATTGGACTATTCTGAAGGGGTTAATGTTCAGTAGGCTCAAAGAAGAGAGAGATAATTAGGGACAAATTTTTGGGGACTTTTTGAACATACCTCGTATGTCAGATTTTGAAGCTGTTGTAGGTACACATTTAAGTTTGATGGCAACTGTTACATCTTTGAATCTTCCATCATGTGTCTGTGAATGCAGTATCAAAATGTAATGTGCCTGAAATTTTATCATTTGATATTTTTGGCAATAACCAACTCCAAGGTGTGTTAGATTTGAAAATATTTAATGAATTTGACAATTTCATTAGAGAGGCGCATAAAAATTAAATTTTGTCACACTTTTCATTCTCTTCATGTTAGAAATTTTGACAGAGAAATTGTGGTAAAAAGGTGAACTTTATACAGAATCACTTTAGTCTGTGTAATAATTGAAAGTCAAAAAAAGGTTTTATGTGTATGACATTTAGTCTTTCACTCTTGAAAATATAGATTGTGTGCTTTTGAGAGCATAGCACGGAGAAAAATATTTGAACTCAAGGGAGATGAAGTAATAGGAGCAGTGAATTTTATGTAATACAAAACTTCACAAATTAATTTACCTAATAATAAAGAATGAATGAACAGAATATGTAGCGTGCCTGAGAAGATAAGACATTCTAAAGTTTGTGTGTGATCTCGTTTAGGATATGTAGACATAAAATGTTACGATGTTTTAGAGGAACAGGTTGTGAAATGGTTGAATTTAGGGTTACAGTGGCCGGCTTATATGGACATGATAGTGGACTTTCAGGTTCTCTGACACCAGGAAACTCATTCAAAACCCTGGACAGTGAAGTTCATTAAAATTAATTTTTAGAACTGTAACTCAGTAGTTTTAAGATATTTACTTTTATGTGGTTATTGGAATTTAGCTTCTTTAATTAACCAACGCTCATCAAATATTGACATAGTTAAAAGTCTTTCTCTCTTCTTGAGTTCATAATGTTCTAAAGAGCTATATGTGATGACACAGTGATGATTATTTCTTAATGTGCTCTTTGTGCAGGTGACATGGCTTGCAAGTTGGACAGAAAATGTTCAAGGTCAGGTAAAATATGTTATGTTGAATCCATCTTCGAAATTAAAGGGTGAGAAGGACTGGCAGAAATATGAGACTGCACGTAAACTTGCAAAATGCATCGGAAAAATCCGACAGGAGTATCAAGATGATTTTAAATCAAAGGAGATGCGCATCAGACAACGTGCTGTTGCACTTTACTTCATTGATAAGGTGACTGGCCCTGTAATTAACTCACTTTCATGAACGTACTTCTATTTTTAGATATATGATAGTATTAAAATTGTTACAGGTAAATTGGAATGTAAGTAATCATCATAGGATAAAATTATTGTGGAAGAATGGGAGTAAGCAGTTTAGCCATTTGTTTGGTTTCATTTTTACAGTTATATAATGCATCAAAATCCGTATGGCTTATGCCAAAAACTCTGTACCATGAGTGAATTTGGAATGTTTTAAGTTGGGTCATATTGTAGTAACACTCAGCATATTGATTTCATGTGAGGCATTTGGAACTCTTCATTATGTTCCCCATTTTCATACTCGATAGCTGTCTCCTGTCCTTTTATTGCTTTATAAATTCCTTGTATCCGCTATGTTTTTGGTCTTCCTTTTCCACTTGGCATCCAGTGTGTCAGTTCTTTTGCCAAAATATTATGAAAGCAACATGCATTGTCAAAGGTCTGTATTTCGTGCCATGTACCATAAATGAGATTGGAAGTACTGGAAATACATGTAGCATGAACTGTGAAAGATCTGGGAAGGTTAATTCTCTGTTCAAGTGGTTCCGTCAATGAGTACATTTCTTATAATCCATGTTCAGATAACTTGGTATTATACTTCTTGAATGTAAGATTTTCCTCAGTTAATATACAGACATATTTCACTATTAGACCCATCCATTTATTTTGACAATATTTGATTGGTGGTACCATACTTACAGATGTGTTAAAAGTTTTGCATTGCTAATAATGATTTTCTTGATACAGTTAGCGCTTCGAGCCGGCAATGAAAAGGATGAGGACCAAGCAGATACTGTGGGCTGCTGTTCGCTTAGAGTTGAGCACATCTCTTTGCATGAACAGAAGGATGGAAAAGATTATGTTGTGGTCTTTGATTTCCTGGGTAAAGACTCCATTCGCTATTACAACGAAGTGTGTGTGGAGAAGCGTGTGTTTAAGAATTTGCAACTTTTTATGCAGAATAAATCAACTGGGGACGATCTCTTTGATAGACTCAATGTAAGTGTGCTACAACTAACAAAATGGAGAATGTGAATTTAGTTATTTTATGGTTGGTTGGTACATTTCACAAGATGCATGTATATATTATGGAAACTCATTGCAGATTTTTTCTTATAAATTTACAACTGTGTATATTGTTTCTCACCGTAATAGTGTTGTGGGAGCTGAATGAGGAGCATCCCCTGGGCTGCATACATCTTTTAAAAAAATGAGCCCCCCCCCCCTTTCCTTTCATAAGCAAAGAAAGGAGGCTAATAAGAACACCAAGCTGTGTATGTTTCCGCCTTTCAGATGTAGCACCTCCTGACTGATTTTCACCAATTTTCAATTAACTTTGGCCAAATGTAGTACCATTGGAGGCCACCTTAAAGTCTTTACTTTTTAACTTGACTAGAGTTAGCAATAACAATATGATGGTTACAAATAAACTGGGAGTGACACAAGCACCACTCAAGAATCCTATTGTGACAGGTAATAGTTGGGACATCTTTCGGTTGACTTTTTTAACGTAAGGTAATAACGTGGCAGATGTGTATAGATTTTCTTCAACTTTTGGTTTGATGGTAATAACTACTTGCCAGTTGTTAATGAATTTTTTTTTTTTTTTTTTTTAAAGTTTTGAGTTACAAATATGGGAACTATCATATTCAGCATACACTCAGTCTCCCCTTTGTGTACTAAGTTCTCTACAAAAGCAAAACAACAGTTACAATAGTAATATACGTGGTGTGTTCAAAAAGTATCGAGCCTTCTTTTTTCCTGCGTAAACCAATGAAGCGCGGGAGGCTCCCTTCGGTGGAGATGTGGAGGGGACATTCCTGCGCAGTCGTGAATTTTTTCCCGCCCACAGAAAGCATCAGTCACTGGCAGTCGGCCTGTGAGTATGTGTAGTGAGCGCTCGTCAGGATTCCGGTAAGGTGTAAAATGACGGAACAACATGAGCAGCGATATTGCGTCAAATTTTGCCAAAAGCTTGGCGATACCCAAGTGGAAACCATTCGCAAGATTCAACAGGCTTTTGGGGACGATGCCATGAGCAACTCATGGATAAAGGAGTGGTACAACCGCTTCAAAGATGGCCGCACATCAGTGGACAGCGAACCGCGTTCAGGCAGACCCTCAACAAGCCGAAATGAGAATGTCATCGAGCAAGTGCGGACTTAGGTCATGGAGGACCGTCGTATCACAGTCCGAGAACTTGCAAATGAGATAGGGGTAAGCATTGGATCGGTACATTCAATTTTGACCGGGAATTTGGGCATTAGGAGAGTGTCCGCGAAATTCGTACCGAAACTGCGAATCTGATTCAGACTTTCGTCGCCAAACACAACGTCCCTGTGGTTCATCAGGCTCCCTGCTCCCCCCAACATGGCTCTGTGTGACTTTTTGCTATTTCCCAAGTTGAAAATGCCACTGAAAGGAACCCGATTGGAGTCAAGAGAAGACATCATGCGGAATGCGACGGCCCGGCTGATCACCATTCCAAAAGACACGTTCCAGAAGTGTTTCCAACAATGGCGGAAGTGCTGGGAGAAGTGTGTGCATTACCAAGGAGACTACTTTGAAGGGGATTAGAATTTTGTACCCCCAAATCAATAAATGTATTTCTGCCAACCAAACGTTCGATACTTTTTGAACACACTCCATATTTGTAGAACTGAAATGTGTGTAATAAGAAAGTATGCTGTAAAAGTTCTGCTTAGGACTCCTTTTTTAAAATTTTACCACCTTTCCCAGATATATTACAGTAACCATTTCTTGCAAAGTGGCGGTAGGTGTCTTGATGTGTGCATGTCATATCTGATACAGTGAATGCTTCAGTGTTGTTATTAATTAAACCGCCATATAAATACTCTCATTCGTTACAACTTCATGTTTTACTGTTTAACTGATTGAACATAGAAAAGAAGAAAAATCAGGATCCAGTCATAATTTTTACATTAAGACAAAATTGAACCCGAGGTTTTGCTAATAATGCCATCACAGTCGTATAAATACTAGTGATATGCTAAGCAAACTACATTGCCACTTAGACTGACAGTTCTCTGTAGTTGGTCCTGGGCCATGATCTGCTTTTTATACTTACTAGGAATGATTGAGAATGATTTCTTGAAATTAAGGTGAGAATTTCAAGAATTTTCTCTAGTAGGCCAATATTTTCACTGTAATAATACTGGCCACCTTTTCACAATACAATAAAGTGTACTACTGTATTTACCTGAATGGAAGATGATTCTGAATGCAAGATAATCCTGCACCAGGAAACATGTGTAAACAGAAAAGTAATTTTATGAATGGCAGTGTTATTATAAACATGAGAAAGAAAATCAGTATCAGACAATGTGTTGTTAAGGGTGCAGCAAAGGAACCTGATGATTTTTAAAATGTTTTATGTTGGCAATTCCTTAGAATGAAATGGCAGGAGCCATGTCATTTGTGAGCTTAACTGATGCCGTTGCAGTTGCATTGGAGCGCTCAACATTGTGCCTTTACTGTTGGAACGTTTTTTTTTAATTTTTTTTTAAAGAATGATGGCTTTGTTGTTAAAGCACAGTGAATATTTCGCATGCACTTCAGTATTGCTCATCATGGGAAAGTTCCTTGTGGTCATACCATACAGTTATGAGTAGATAAATTCAGAACGAGTGCTTCCGGGTTAAAAAATGAAACCACCAGGCTGTACGCATACAGTTGATCACCGCAGGACATTGAGGCTATTAGGCAGTTATCCATAAGGATTTTTAGGCATTCAGCCTGGGAACATTCTTTTGCTCTAGGAATATCTAATCGCAGCCTGAGGAGAATGAGGATAAAAATTTTCATTCGTATAAAATGGCGGTGATGCAAGATTTAAGTGATTGTGACATGGCAAACCATAGCATGGTAGCTGAACATTTAATCAGAATTTTGTCTGACAATGTCCATTATTCTTATAATAGGTGAATCTTACTGCCTCAACAAACAAAATTTTACAATTGGGCAGAGGAAACTCCACAGCAGCTTTATCAACGGCCTCTTCACAGTGCATGTGTGACTGTTAGGTGTGGAGTCACAGGCCGGTATTTCTTTGGACACAAAAATGGGCATGCAGTTACCTTCACATTTCCTCATTATGTTGGAACATTATGGAACTTCCTCGCGCAAGAACTGAGTCTCGTGAAATTGAGCTGTGAACCATACGGTTCATGAGAACATCCATGGTGTTTTTTCGGGAAATATTTCTGGAGCTCGTTATTTCACTGCGCAGTGAGCTTCCATGGCCTCCACATTCACCCACTATCTCTGCTTGTGATTATTTCCTTTGGGGGTACCTCAAAGCGAAAGTGTACACCACTAGACTGCAGACCATTGAAGACCTCCAGATTGCAATTCAAAAACAGAATATATGCACAAACTCCGTCATAAGTGCAACAATTTATTGTAGTTCTTTCGTCTTCCTTTCTTCTACACTACATGTTCCGGCCGTAAATGGCCATCATCAGGTGTATACTCTCATGTAGCTGCTACACTGCACATAGTTTAAAATTTAAAAAAACACCGGTCTTCCCAGTTGTTCACTTCTCCATTGCTAACAGGTTTCAATATATCAGAATCCTCCCTACTGATATCTGTCAGATATGTACAAAATCTTTAACCTACACACGTCAGTTTGATTTTCAAAAACAGGGAAACTTATAATCTCTTATTCAAATTTAAAAATTTCTTTATTTTTTATTTATTTATTTTTTTTCAAATTTTTAAGTTTAAAATTCTCAGAGGTACTCGCCCTATGTATGTAGTGCTGCAGTGGCTACTTCTTGTTTTCAGCACCGTTCAGGTATTGTTCTGTGTAGCCTCCCTGTGTGCGTGCTGCTGCTTATCTTTAATACGTGTGCTAAATTTTAAATTTTAAAATTTGAAAAAAAAATTAAATTTTTAAATTTGAATTGAAGATTTTAAAAGTGCCAGTTTTTGAAAATCAAATTGACATGTGTAGGTTAACAAAGATTTTGTACATATCTGACAGATATCAGCGGGGAGGATTCTGATATATCAAAACCTGTTAGCAACATAGAAGTGAACAATTGGGAAGACTGGTATTTTTTAAATTTTAAACTATGTGCAGTGTAGCAGCTACGTGAGAGTATACACCTGATGATGGTCATTTACGGCCGAAACATGTAGTGTAGAAGAAAGGAAGACGAAAGAACTACAATAAATTGTTGCACTTAGGATGGATTTTGTGCGTATATTGTGTAGAGTGTAGCAGGATGCTTAAATATAATATCAAAAATAGATTTCAGTGATACCAGAAAACATGGTGAGGTGAGCAAAGTTGGAAGAGTGTGTGTGTGTGTGTGTGCGTGCGTGCGTGCAGCAATGGGTAACATGTTAGTTATGCACTGTTCAAAACGAAATAATCAGACGTAATAAAATGTACGTGGAATGAAATGGCATTCAATGGTAATTCATGTTGTAACAGTAAGTTAAAAATTAATATAAAATGTCAGTGCTTTATATACAGTAAAACTTGGTTATAGCAACATCGGTTTCTGCGACACCTTGTCTATTGCGTCAAATATTCAATGGTACGAACTAATTCCTCATAAAGCAACTGTTTTTATACCTTGCTTAGTACGACATGCACAAATGCATCAACCTCGTATGTACCGTCATTTTCATTCCTGAATTTCTCTGATATTGACATTGAACGTAATTTAGAAAGTGTGTATTGGGCAAGTAACAGGAAACAGATGAAGATAACTGATTACTGTACTCGTATCTAGGTACAGTAAGGCACAACAATTGATGTAATCTACTGTAATTTGGTGAGTAGGCCTACCTTTAATATACAGTATTAGTGCGGTGTGTATTGTCAGTGAAAAGCGCTGTAATATGTCTTTGATATTACACATTTGGGCAATTCCACGTTAATGTTACGTTAGTCTGTACTTAACTACGTATTTCACTAAAAAATGCAACATTTTAACTCGGTTTTTGGTAGAATTTTACATGACTAACATAAGGCTACTGTGGAAGTGCCCATTTCGGTTACAACGACATTCGTTTATAACGACACTATTTTTAGGTCCCTTTGATGACGTTATAACCAAGTTCTACTGTACTTTTGAAAATTGTCAGGTTCTTTTGCCTCACATGAAATTGAGTTAGTTTCCTTTTTGAAGTTACATAGCTTTACCAGTCTGTGTTCACCATTCTTGTCATCTCTGTCAGCTTCAGTGTCTTCATAATTCCCACCTTGTATCACAATCATTGATCATACGGTCTCATTCACAGCCAGAATTCCTGACTTCTTTCCCATTCGCCCACCCATTTCATCAAATAAAAAAGTAAGTAAAGGTGTCCCTGTAACAGGCCATGAAGGCCCATAGGGTTGTGAGATGTTGAGGGTCCCACATTATCTAGACCAGTGGTTCTCAACCTCTTTTTGCTCGTGGCCCACTTCTGACTTTCATTCAGTTCTGTGGCCCCCACCCCTCATATTGTTTAATTATAATAAATGTAATATTGATTATAAATATGTACTTTTATCAACTGTACTTTTATTTATAACAATTATTATTTGTTTATAGCATAAGGAATGTTGATAATAAGAAAGGGTTTTGTTAACAAAAACCTTTATTTATAATAGAATTTTTACGTATATAATGTTCTGTTTATTTACAGTATATAATTATGCTCCTGACAAAAAGTATTACAATAATATTAGTGTCCCTTAGGTTTAGTGAGATCCTTGCGGCTNAAGCCATTCTACTTCAAATAAATACAAAACTGCTGTAATCAATTCACAATATTTTTTCTTGTAGAGGGAGGGCATTCAAATTCTATTGAAAGCTAATAATTTATTTGTAATGAAAGTTCAAGTTATTATGAAATGTAATGCTTATTTGTCGTAAAATAGTAGCTGGAGTTTGTAACTTGCCTACAAAGTAGGGAACTGCCACAATAATAGAACTTGCACAAAAAAATGTCTTTTTCCAAACACTTCGAATACTGAACTGAAGAACACCTGAAATTTACTGAAAAGGTGGCGGTAAAACTCATGAGAGGTGGGGGAGATATTTAGGAAAATAAAGGATAATTCGTTAGGGCTCTACCCACTCTGAGAAGGCGCGTACCTGTTTACCGGTACTTGGAATTCCCAGATCTAAGGTTGTGGTTTAAGTACAATAGGTTCTGTCCCTTCCAAGTAAGGTACACAAAAACAAGGATATTGAGTTATTGTGTTATTATATGTACTGACCATTTGGCATTTTTATTCCTTTTTGTATTATTAATTTTATTTTAGAAGTGAAAATTTTGTGGCCCACTTAACAGTTTCCATGGCCCTCCATTTTCCAAATTTTGTCTGCGGCCCCTCAGAAATACGGCTTCCATTGAGAACCACTGATCTAGACAGTCAGCTCAAAGATGGTGGTAAGGTTAGCCTTATGCACTGGCCGTGCTTTACTCCCAAGGAAAATTATTTAATAATTCCTGGTACTCATTTCTGTTAGAGGCTGAGTCGACCCCAGGACCATAGTGCGGCTGAAAGGATTAGGTCAATTGAAAAAATCCAATGACCTCATCAGGACTTGAACCTGCGACTTTTGGGCTTGTAGCATATTGCCTTAACCAACTACGGTACCATGTGCTCCTCCATTTCATCAATTATACAACATTTCTTAAATCCTCTGACCATCACTTCTGGAGAGGTCTGTTGTCATAATCTTGATACACTGGCCTTCTTTATTGTTACCATGGTGTCAGAACATATTCCCCTGCAATAGCCATTTGAAATTCAATTGTTTGAAATGATCCTTAAAAGGCTTATTCACTAGAATGAGTAATTATGAAGTTATCCCTCCAGGTATGACCACAGAGTCAATGTTTGTTGAATGAATCACAGATATTGCACCCAGAGTTAAACTTCATTGCCTCCAGCACAATCTCGTTTCTCATTTTCTCAACAGTACTCTTGGTATCCTCTTCCAGACAATTTGTAATGAGACCCTCTATGAGTTCATTTAATGATTCATCCCTTTACTAGATACATGATTATTAGCTCCGTAGGCAGCTGCGACTTAGAGACATTTCAAATAACTAATCACACATGGTAGTGCACTCTGCCAACTCAGTCAGCATTAATCATTTACATATTTCCATTGCCTGATGCCTTTGTAACAGATTTTTCACCTACATCACTGATGGTATAATTTGATGGAATTTTGAAGTACATTGGCATTTCATCAACAATGCATCGAAATGTGATAGTAAATTCTTGCAGAGTGAAGATCTTCACTGTAAGAAAACCTATTCTCTGGGTCATTTGTACACAACCCTGAGGCGAGCTTAAAATTTCAGCCTCTCAGTGATGTTACTTAACAGTAACATTCCATTCTCTCTTTGAATCCTTGCAAACCACAGTTTTTTCCTACAGTTGGCAAGTTCTGGTTTCTCTTCCACTTTTTGGTATTATGTTTAGGTGATGCCATATAGTTTTCTTGCTTGTTCACTGTTGTTTTGTATCTTTAACCACCAGAGTCTTAATGTATGAACAATAACTGTGGTGCCTGATATTTCTGACACATTCCCTTTCATACTGATACTTCTTCTCTTGACATGACCTGCAATTTTTATGTTGAGAAACTCTTGTGTTAGCACAAAATTTCATGATATCATAAATCAGCAAATTGCTGGTTCACTTCATAATTCTGGTGTACTGTGGGCAACTTCATGATAGCTTGTGATTTCCAGGCTTGAAACATATGTCTCTTGCTTTCTCACTTGCAACTGTCACATAGTATGATAATGTTAGATGTGGTATTTGCAATGAACATGCTAAAAGCCTAGAAGGATTGAAGACACACACACATATTGTTCAAATTCATGACAGTGACCTATAGATTTGTAACTGTAAAAAGAAACTTGTCTTCCATTCAGGAAAATATGACCCTAATAAGCAAAGTGAAAGTACCTATAAGGAAGTTCTGATAGTTCAAGAATGAAAAAGTAATATTTTAGTTTCAATCAAGAATGTTTTCTTGATTCAATCTCAATAACTTGAGATTTGCACATCCCTGATTCTTACTAGTATTGTAGGTTGAAACAGTTTTTGAGGAGATGCAATATGCAACTTTAGCCGGTACTTGGCATTGGTAGCACATTTCTAGCTATATGTGGTGTGTTCAAAAAGTATCGAACCTTTGGTTGGCAGAAATACATTTATTGATTTGGAGGTACAAAACCCCAATCCCCTTCAAAGTAGTCTCCTTGGTAATGCACACACTTCTCCCAGCGCTTCCGCCATTGTTGGAAACACTTCCGGAACGCGTCTATTGGAATGGTGGTCAGCCAGGCCGTCACATTCCGCATGATGTCTTCTCTTGACTCAAATCGGGTTCCTTTCAGCGGGATTTTCAACTTGGGAAATAGCCAAAAGTCACATGGAGCCATGTTGGGGGAATAGGGAGCCTGACAAACCACACAGATATTGTGTTTGGCGACAAAAGTCTGAATCAGATGCGCAGAATGGGTGATTGCGTTATCATGATGGAGCTGCCAAGTTTTTGCTGCCTACAGATCCGGTCGTTTGCGCTACACAGCATCACGAAGGCAACGAAGGACCTGGTAGTATTCCTTTGTGATGGTTTGGCCTTATGGTGCGTACTCATGATGCACAACCCCACGGGAGTGGAAGAAAACGGCCAACATGACCTTGACATTGCTGCGGACCTGCCGTGCTTTTTTTGGCCTTGGGGATGTCGGATGTTTCCACTGTGACGACTGCATCTTGGTTTCTGGGTCGTACCCATAAACCCACGACTCATTGCCTGTGATCACGGTGTTCAGAAAGTTGGGATTACTGTTTGCATTGTCCAGCATGTCCCGTGCAATTTCCAGGCGGCGTTGCTTCTGCTCCATTGTTAGCAGTTTTGGTACGAATTTCGCAGACACACTCCTCATGCCAAAATCCTCGGTCAAAATTGAATGTACCAATCCAGTGCTTACCCCTATCTCATTCACAAGTTCTCGGACTGTGATACAACGGTCCTCCATGACCAAAGTCCGCACTTTCTCAATGACATTCTCATTTTGGCTTGTTGAAGGTCTGCCTGAACACGGTTCGCTGTCCACTGATGTGCGGCCATCTTTGAAGTGGTTGTACCACTCCTTTATCTGCGAGTTGCTCATGGCATCGTCCCCGAAAGCCTGTTGAATCTTGCGAATGGTTTCATTACATTACATTACATTACATTACATTACATTATTTATTATACTGCAATTGGGTTTTAGCCCGGTGGCAGTAGTACACAATAGGACACAACAGACAAGTAACACACATTACACTAAGTGACAACACGTTCAAACAAAAAACAATACACAAAACACAACAATAAGGACATCCTACCACAGTGAATACAAACCAAATACGATTAACAACTACAACAATTACAGAGAAATACAAACAACTGCAACAAATACAACAACACTTCCACTTGGGTATCGCCAAGCTTTTGGCAAAATTTGATGCAATATCGCTGCTCATGTTGTTCCGTCATTTTACACCATACTGGAATCCGACGAGCTGTCACTACACATCCTCACTCATAGGCCGACTGCCAGCGACTGACACTTTCTGCGGGCGGGAAAAAATTCACGACTGCGCATGAATGTCTCCTCCACATCTCCACCGAAGGGAGCCTCCTGTGCTTCATTGGTTTACGCGGGAAAAAAGAAGGTTCGATACGTTTTGAACACACCACATATGTGGATTCTTGAGCATTGTTCCACTTTACTTTTTATGTGTGTAAGTTTACTTGTGGACATGACTGATTATGGTCGGGGTGTTATATTGGGTGTAGAAAGGCGCTTGTACATTAGGGCTAGACAGGAAAAATGAATCCAGCTTTCAAGATTATCAGTTCTGGCATGTTGATCAGTAATTTGAAATACAGTAAGATTCATTGTATTGTGATCTAAAACAATATACATAAACTTAAATTTGAATTTCAGACTACTGTCCTAAACAAACATCTGAACGAACTAATGGAAGGTTTAACTGCCAAGGTTTTCCGAACATTCAATGCCTCCATCACTCTCCAAGAACAGCTAGATAAAATGACAGATCCTAACTGCACACTTCAGGAGAAGGTGTGTAATTTTACTTCTGTTATATAGTGTTATTTATCTGTGATACTTCTGTGCTTGAATTTACATGGATAATACTAAAATGAAGTTGCAGAATTTATTCACAGTAGAAATTAAATATATGTTAATTATTTGTATGCAGCAGAGCACATAGTTGGAAATTAATGTGGCATAGGTTGCAATGCAGAGAGACAAGGGAGGCAAGTCTTCTTCTGTGCTAATCCTTATTTCTCTCCTCTTCAGATACTAGTGTATAATCGTGCAAATCGAGCTGTGGCAATCTTGTGTAACCATCAACGTGCAGTTCCTAAAACACATGCCAAATCTATGGAGAATCTGAAGGCAAAGATCGATGCCAAAAAAGAAATGGTGCAAGATGCAGAGAGGCAGTATAAGGATGCCAAGCATGAGCACAAAAGAAATGGTTCTGCTAAGAATAAAATGTAAGTTTTCTTGTGATTTATTTTCAGATATTGTTTTATGGGGGCAGAAAGATAATTTAACTAGACCTATAAGTTACAGTTAATTGGAGTAATAAATCATTGATAAGGGACACTGTATCATTTGTTTATAGATTTCAGGAAAGCCTGTGAATCAGAAGGGAAGTATTATACATTATTCTGATTGTGTTTGATATATCCATGGAACTAATTGGGCTAATTAAAATGTATAAGTGAAACCTACAGTAAAATCCATATTACGAAACATTTTTCTGATCTAAGATTTGAGGTTTTCATGGTGGTAACTATGAAGAATGCTGTCTTCATGGATGTGTCCTTGTGTACATCTTGTGTGAACCAACATTTTGAAGGAATGTATCACCACCATCTTCAGGGTAGAAAAATTGAGGAACCAGCATGAGCAGGTGGCTGCAGACTGACACCAGTCGAAAATGCCCAGCAATATGAGAACAGGGAGGGAGGGAGGGAGAGGGCTACGTAGGATATCAATAGAGAGGAGAGGGGAAGGGTCTGTGGAGATGGGCCAGCAGGTAGCAGGCAAGAGCAGTAGTAGTATCCTGTCGGGGGAAGAGGAAAGAGGCAGGGCTACTGAGTGGGCATTGACCAAATAGTCTCAGGGCTAAGCTGCTGAGCTTGCATTGACCTACATAGCCTTGTAGATCTGGCGTCATGTTCCAGAGGTTTCTTGACAGGGCAGATGAGACAAAAACCAACCTCTCTGTTAATATTGTTGGGATAGAGCTCAATCTCGATGGCCTCCCTAATGATGCGATCCATGTATTGGGTCTTGGTAGCGAGGATGGAGGTATTGTGAAATTGAATATGGTGCCCTAGGTTGATACTGTGTTCAGCCATGGCTGACTTGTCTGGATGTTCAGGACGGATGTGTCACTAATGCTCCTTCAACCTTGTGTCCACGGAATGGCCTGTCTGCCGAATGTAGACCTTGCCACACTCACTGGTGTTTTCGACTGGTGACTCAGTCTGCAGCCACCTGTTCACTCTGGTTCTTCGCTCAAGGATTTTTCTACCCTTAAGATGGAGGCAATACATTCCTAAAAAAAATGCTGTTCATACAAGATCTACACAGCTCCACATCTCAAATGATGGCACTCTTCATTTTTCTGAAAATTTATTCTTCACAGTGGTCTGAAACAAGAGTGCTATATCACCATTGCTTTTCAATTTTATATTAGAATATGCCATTAGAAAGGTCAGAGGAAACCAAGAGTAATTGAAATTGAATGGAATATGTCAATCTCTGGTCCATGCCCATGATTTTGTTGGGTGAAGACATAAATACCATAAATAAAAATATAATCTCTGTTAGAAACAGATTTTTTTTTACAAATAAATTCAGAAAACACAAGTATATGTTTATGTCTAACCACCAGAATGCAGGACAAAATCATAGCATAAAGATTTGTAAAAGATCCATTGAAAATTATGCAAAATTCAAATATGTAGGAATACACTAACAAATTAAAATTTAATTCATGAAGACATTAAGAGCAGATTAAATTTGGGGGAAGGTTCATTTAGTTCAGAATCTGTGTGTGTCTGCTCTCTAAGAATGTAAATATTAAAATACACAAAACTGTAATTTTGTGTGGGTGTGAAATTTCTCTCTTACATGATGAGCAGAATATAGACTGAAGATGCCGATGAGAATATTTGGACATGAGAGGGATGAAGCAACAGGAGGGTGGAGAAATTGCGTACTGAGGAGCATCATAATAGATACTCACCAAATATTATTAGAACAATGAAATCAAGAAGGATTAGGTGGGCAGAACATGTAACATCCATTTGAGAGAGGAGTTTTGGTAGGGAAAGCTGAAGAAAATAGAACACCAGGAAGACATAGGCTTAGATGGGAGGATTAGTATTAACACTTCGCAGACCGGTGATATAAATATTTAAATCACCCTGGGGACCGGCATTTTTAAACATACTACCCTAACTTGTGCACTGTTCGCTTTAAAAATTAATATAAAATCTCCTAATTAATTTTTTGAACTAAAATTTTTGGAGAACACTTACCAATGCCCCTAGAAGCGCTTGTGTGTGTGATATTA